ATCTTTTATAAATTTTTGTTGTTTATTTTCCACATTGTTATAAATACATTGTTGACATTCAATTGTTGAAAACAATTTATTTAAAAAAGGAATTGTTGAACAAAGTGGATCAATTTTTTTTGCGAATTTTCGCAAGGAATGAAGCATTTTAGAGGAAAAAGTATTTTTACATAATACAAATATTTATGCAATTATTAAATTATATTTAGCAAAACTGCTTTCGGCGAAAAGTTTTATGACAGTAGGATGTTTACAAAATTTAATTATTTGTTCTACTCATATTCTAAACGTTTAAGTTATTTTAAGTAATAGAGTGAAAGTATTACAACTAGCAGATGTTTGTTAAAATACTGAACATCAAAAGAGGATGGCAGATACAAAGAACCCAACACAGAAAGAACGAACAAACACTTCAAAATTTCTGTCACAAAGATACTCTCAGAGGGTGGCAAATGAGCTTGTTTGACATTTTACAATACATGTGGTAGCAGGTTGGTTCTGGGCTTTTCTGCCCAAATATAGTTAAATTTTATACTTGTGATTTTCCACAACAATTAATTATTTTCTCATAAATCATCTTGTTTGATCATGACGCATGTATTTTATATTTTTGCATTTTTAATATTTGATTGAATTTATTGCACAGTTAAATTTTTCATAGTTAATTCAAATTTAACTACTTTTTATCTTCTTCTCATAGAATCAACAGGCATCAAGATTGCAAAGGAGTATATTTTAATGACACCGACTACCCCACTGGCTTTTGTTGGCCATAAATTTGTAGAAACTGAAATGCAATATTTTGAGGAATATTTGTCAAAACGCGTGGTTTCGAGATTCGTTTATCTGAAAAATACATATTTCACAGTGCTAATGCCTCCATTAGATTGTTGTTGGCACGGATGTTTTTACGAATGTTTGTATTAAAAATAAAAGGGGCCGAATACAGCAGAAGCAGAGCGGTTCGAGAGAGGCGAAAAAGAGCGGGCGGGTCGGCGATAAAAAGCATGGCTGCTGGAGAGAGAGAGATGGGCGATTGCCAAGAAATATCTCCTCCGGAGAGGAAGATGCGAGCAATTTGCCATCATTTTATCCTTCATTTTGACTCGACGAATATTGTAATGGTGAAAGTTGAGCGCCCCTTTTTGCACTCGAATCAAAGCTAACCGACTGGAGGAGCTGCGACCGAAGCCAAAAACGCGATAATTGAATTTGCGTGGACGTAACAAGTGGATCAAACATTCAAATTTAATCCCACCCTCTACTCCGTTTCCTCACGCGTAGATTTATGAACCCTCTCCACACGAGGAGGAGTCGGGTTACCTGAAGGGGCTGTTTTAAATTAAGACCGGCTCTCCGGGAAAATGAACTGCGCCCGCCCGAAGGCGCTGCTCCGGGTTATGGATGGCTCAAACGTGGGTGGATTATTTTCATACGACTTCTCGCCGTGTAAATGTTTATGAGTTTCACCGCGAGGAGATTGACGCGCCGGTTATTTTCTCGAGAATTGCTGGGTATATATTTGGGACTGGCGTAAAACAGCATCTCTTCACAATCGTGCTGTATATATGTTTATGGATTATCGACCCGAAATTCAGGAAATATAGTCGCAACTCTGGCAAATCCGGCGCACGCAAACAGGAAAAGCGCGTTTCGGTCACGTGAAATTGTATTTATGCGTTGTGCAAAAAGCCGTGCTCGGATGTCACAACGGACGCGTGCCAGACGAACTATAACTTATTCACGCAGCCTCCCACAAAATCGGGTTGGAATTCGGGCCGGGTCGCGCCTCGGAAGGCCGCTGGCGCATTTCGACAATGCAGCAGCGGCAGCGCGTGCATGCCAAATATCCGCAGTATCATTACGGGCCCGTGTACGCATGAATCCTACACATGCGTAATATCCCGGGCGCAGCCCGCCGGCCTCATCATTGAAAGTGTGCACCAACCAACAAGCGCGTGGCCTGCCCGCTCCGGCGCGCTCAAAAATCGCGGCTTCATTTAATCCCGCGCATTCCGTGAATATGTAAAATGATTTTATTATCAGACCACGTAGACCGCCTTAATATGCGGCGGAATCAGTCGCGCCCCGGGACGTGCACTTCGTTGTCTGCTGTGGATAGAAATGGAGCGAAAGAGGGACCCTAAATTTTTACGGCCCGGCAATATCTGCGTGAATTATGGGCTTAATCTGTTTCGAATCTGCTCCAAAGTGGCACGAAATTTGCCACAGCCTTAAAAACTGATTCAGCTGGGAAATGGAACAGATTGCTCGGCTAATCGCAGAGCATATTTGCTAGAGTGTGTTTTAACCCAAATATTTTGTTGGGAAACCAATAAAATTAGTTTGCAATATCGTTATTTTCTTCTTATCTTAAATTAATACCTTTTGCAAAATTATTTTAAAATTTTTAATTATATGAATCATTAATTTTATTTTTAATTTTCAATTAAAAATCTTTTTAAAATTATTCATTAAGAAGAAAAATTTATATTTTATCCTTAAGTTTATTTAGTTTGCTTTTGAAAAACTCCAATTCTCACATATTATAAAAAAGAGACGATAGGACATTATTTTTAACATCAACCTACACTCTAATCTAAAGACATTTGGAATATTTGTTTGGTTTAATTACGTTTTACATGTAACATCTTAAATTGAATTGAATTTTCTTACAAAAAAAATTATTTTAAAGCGGGGCAGTCATGTCAATTAATCATCACAACCATAAAATACACACAATAAAAATTAAAAAAAAAATTATAATAATTCGCACAGTTACATTGTTACAAAAAATCTTTATTTAAAAAATTATTTATCAAAAAAGTAAATAATGATAATATTTTCAAACATTTTCAAATAAATTTTAAACAAAAATTGCTTAAGAATGTAATGACCAGCATGGAATCAATCAGTTAAATGGAATTTGGCGCTCTAGATTTGAATTAATTTCACATTAAATTGAGTTTTCATTAGTTAAATCCTTCCGGCATCCGCATTTCCAAGAATCGTCGTCGTGTTTGTTCGGCACGTAATGGAGAGGAGCGTGCGCGAAAAACGGAGGAATATTAAGTGCCTGCTGAACCGACGCTCTCCAATTATCAAAAGAAGCGACAGTCAAGCAGACAGACGGAGCCTGGTTCTGCTGGGAAATCAGCTAGAATGCAAATTTCCAGCTGCTGCTGGTGCCGTCGGCGTCGTCGTTGGTGCGCACTTATTTAGAAAGTCTAATTAGATCGCTAGTGAAATTTCAATTTCCTGCCGGAGCAGAGAACGCTCGACTTTGTTTTTAGAAGCGATGTTTCGATTTCAAAGAAGAGTAAAAATACAGACAAAGCGACGCCCAATAAATCGAGCCGATTCGAGCAACGTCGCATGTAAATTATTTTTATTGCCTTGCTCTCGTTTGAGTTCAAAGCGGCTTTTTCATAAATTTTCCTGGAGAACTAAAATGTAAATATAAAATTGTACCATTCTCTTTCGTGAGGGAGATTCACCTTTATTTGGATTGCGTCCAAAAAGAAACCACACTGGTGTATCCACCTCTTTCTCTCTCTCCCTCGGAAATAACCCAAACAAATGTAAATAAAAGAGGGAAAACGAGGCGAATTAAACACGGCGTGCTGCATCTACTTCATAAATAAATTCCGACGTCACAAAACAAGGGCCAGTTGTCGTAGATAATTTTAACAGGACCACGGAGCGGCCAGAGAACAAAGCACCGAATAATCCTGACAAACGCTTTGTTTGGCTTGCTCGCATTGTGCGAGTTTGTTTTAACCGGCGGCGAATCCTTTAACAAAAACTACACGCTTGCACCTTGTCCGCTGTTTTAGTAATGGCGAATCTGGGAGAGTGGCGCAGGGTCCTTTCCCAGGACATTTTGAAACCAAAATGAGAGCTTTTAAGGTTATTACAAATTTGTGACGAGATTCGAATAAATGTGAAATTCATAAATAATTTATCATGTTGATGGCTCGAACCGTTCCAAATAGGCTTTTAGCAGATTATTATCATTCTATTCATTCCTTGAAACAAATTTTTACGACTGGCTTGGAAAATAAAATCACGTTTTACGGTCGATTCCTTGCGAGTGTCGCCACTCTGGTTTTTTCCGAAGGTGAAAGCAATGTCGTTGCTGGCGTCACATTCAATTACAAAGTCTTATCAAACGAGAACTACCCTCATTACCACACTTCCTTTCTCGCTGCAAGGAGCACAAAGGGCGGAGAGAGGAATTAAGGCCGTCTATTACGAGCTCGCATGTGCCACGTACTGCTTTTCCCCGTAACTTTCATTCATACTTTTTATCTTGTGCATAAAATTCACGCTGCACTCTGTAAATTATCTAGGCTGGCAATAATCCGAGAGGGTGCCACGTGTGTGCTCTCTCTCTCTATCTGGATCACGTACTATTTTTTTTTAACATTATGCACATGTGTGAAAGGCATTATTTTTCTTTGCACGAGACGTATATATGAACTCCGTTTCTTTGAGGACGGAATCACGCGAGGCACATTACTTTCCGCCTTTCTTCGCGCGACGGAACATAAATACGCGCTGCAATTTGTTGTGAGCTGTGACGCCGTTGAAAGAAATAGTACATTATTTGGGCGTGCCAAGTCTAGCTCAAAATTGGCCCAGCCATTAAAATTTCAAATTTGTTCGCGTCTGGCAGGGCCGAGCTTTTGTAACAGCAGACGAAAGAAAGAAAACGTGCAGAGTGAAAAGACTCGTAAAATTGGCTGTTTGTCTTGCAAAATTTAAATGGACACGTTTAAAGCTAAATTTTCGTTAACAAGATGAAAAAAGTGAAAGGAAATATGTGTGCTTTAATCATTTTATTATTTTCTCATTGATAGAAATTCTTCACCAATATAATTTCCTATTTGATTTCAACCATTGCATTCTCATTGTTGTGTTTAAATGTTGTATTGTCGCATTGAAACCTCTTTTGTTCAATCAATTAACCATCAAGGGTATGATTTCTGTTTTTAAAGTTGCCACAAATCACCTTTATAGCTGCTGGAATCGTCTTAGAAAGAGCCTAAATCTAACACGTAAGTTTTATGGATGGGCTTCATAAAAGCTGCAAAATATCTTTCTTGTAATGCTAAAAAACAACACTTAGTATGGCGGCTGGATGGTTGCATTGTCCGTCTAGAATCATTACATATAAAATAGCATTGTACATCATGATTCCAATCCTCTTTCACTTTCCTAATCTCTGAAACCGCATTTCGCCCCACTTTTGCCCAGGATTAAAATTGAACCGGGATCAACGTCTGCAATTAATTACACGACGAGATTTGTGCATATATAACTCTGGGCATCGGTGCTCCACTCCACTTTTGCCAAGGATTATTTCCACGTCATGCATTCAGCAATCACTTTTACCGCGCGGACAAATGCAACTCGCTGTCACACAAGCGTAAACAAAGCCGGCGGGTTGGCGATCAGATTGAGTCGCAGGTCTACCAGCGGTGACCCTATTCACATATGCAGAGCCGCCCCATCGAATAATTGCGATGCACTTCGGCAGCTGCGGTTCGATCGCGTGCGAGTGGTGCTTTTTTCGCGTGGCACGTGCGATATTGTGTGCGACTAATTTATTCCATCGCGACCCATTTCTCCGAGTTGCGGGATTATGACACCCCGCCCGGGGGTGTTATTGGCTCGGGGCGTGTGCTGCGATTGCAAATTTGGTAAATGAATTTTGAAATTCCGCCCGCGCGATGCGGTATAGACTCGTCCGTGCTGCTGAGCGGGCATAAATATTGCGCGCCCGAATGGTGTTTGGTTATTAAATTAATAAATACGGGCCGGCCGGGCTGCCGCAACGGGCGAGAGAAAATTGGGAGGCGTGCATAATGGCCGCACTTTCGGGCCCCGGCGTCGGCAAATGGGATGCAGTTTTTCACGCGCGTGAATATTATATTATCAGATTTTATCTTGGTTTGTTTTAGGGCGCTTTTACTGCCCTCGTCTCTGAATAAATTTCGGCTGCAATTATCTCCGGAGATTGCGTTCCAGCCAGACTGTGTTAAGGGTTGCTCGTGCGAATGACGTTTGAAAGTAGAATGCTCTCTTCAGTGAGGAGAAGTAATGCTGCAATGGAGAGCAAACCGCACTGCAAGACTCGCAGCAAAAAACAAAGCACCACCACTTGCAAAACACCCGGTTTGTTCGTCCGGAAAATTTAATTCGAAACCGCAGGAACACTTGAAACTCGATAAAACCGCATCAGCTGCTGGTAAAGCAGTGCTTTGTGTTATTGTGTGTACCAAGCGCTTCTGCAATCATGCCCATGCAGGAAGCTATGATGTGTTGCTCAAAAGCTGTTAGGAAAAGTAGGCAACGTGTGCAGCAGCCTCGTCCTCACGGTTGCATACCGCTGCTCTTGTACCAAACTATTTCCACACGTTTGCTTGGTATAGAAAATGAGAAATAATGCCGATGATATTTTTACCTGAAATTTTTAAAAAATTTACCCAATTTGTTGAAAAAGAAAGAATGCTTTAAAATGGCATCAAAAAATTTAAAACATTTGCAATTTTTTAATTTAAAATTTTTACTAACCCATTCATAGTTTCATATCATATTTTAAACAAAATAAATTTAACCTATTTATTTCCTAATTTTTGAATTGTGACTTTTGTTATAAGAGATATCTTAAGATAATATACACAAACAAAACTCAGTGCCTATCAGACTTCAATGCTTTGTCAATTGACTAAATGAGTTGCCAATGATGCTAGGAATTTTTTTTTTCCCCCGGGAACAGCAATAAACAAAATTCAGCGAGCTTTATATTGTCAGCGGCGAGCTTGGGTTGGCAACCGGCTGCATTCGTCTGCCACTTTTCTGAGCGTCTTCTCCCCCATCGACCGACACGGCTTTGCCATTTCCGAGAGGCGATGTTGTCAGAAGAATTAAATTTAATCCCTGAGCGATCTCGGTCGGTTGCATCGCACCCAACTACGCATCAGGGCTACCGTCGTTTTTCTCAAGTGTGCATGGCCTCATTCCGCACACAGGGAGGGACGCCGGCAAAAAAATAGCATAATGCGCTCATTAATATTCATACGAGGCCGCGGCGGTGATGTCCTCTCGGTCGCGTGTGTTTTTATTATTTCACGAGGCATGCACGGATGTTTATTGATTCGCTGCTCGGAACTGTTGCTGATTAGCATCACCGAGATACAAGCCAGTGCTAAATTTAACCAGCCTCTTGCGCAATGAAATTGCACATGGAAAGTGTCAGAAGCTGTTTCTGCGGAAATCGACCAATGTTTTTACCCGCCGGATGAATTGAATCTCCATCGCGTCAAGCGCACTTCCCATGACAAGCTCATATAAACACGTTTGCGGTGGCGAGTGGTTGTTAAAAATTACGTCCGCCCGGTTATTATTGCCGTGCATGGAAATCGAAAAATCCATCCGGCCTGATTGCAAAATCGATGGAAAAGTGGCATGCATGATTAATAAAGCTAAGCGAGCGGCGAAACGATTTTGCCTCGCCGGTTATTAATCGCCGTTCTTGCGCCTGGACTAGACACTAATCTGCTTTGCCGCAAAAAGGAGAACCGTATGCTCGGGTGTGCGTTTGATTGTTTCGCCGAAAGCCTGGAAGAAAAATGATATAATTTTGCATAGATGAGGGCGGTTGAGTTTTATATCCGTTGGCAGGCTCGGCCGCTGTGGTAGACTCGTAAAATTGCGTCGTAACAATAAAAGTTTGGTTACCGAACAGCTAGACGCCCGAGATATTATATGGTCATGGCCGTTAGCCCAAGACCTTTCAGAGCCCACTCGACGAGAAAGAAAGAAAATAAATAAATAAATACATAGAGTGTAAGGAGCGAATTACGCCGAATTTCAGCATGTCTGCCTTGATGGGCGCTTTATTGTCCAAATCAAATATTGAGACGTAAAGGCGTCTCTTTACGTCAGCAAAATTGAGTGCATCTTTTTTTCCCCAGAAAACCCGCTGATAGATGGACGTTTCCATCTATTTTTTGCTCGCAGATTTTCGGCGCCGTCGCTTTCCACCGCGGCAGAAATAACGCACAATCATGCAAATACACCAACAAAAGAACACCCGGCCATTATGTGAGAATTCAGTCATACGGAGCTGAATTCTATCATATAATACTTTAAATATTTCTTAATTTTATGTTTAAATTACCTCTTTCTTATTTATATGATTTTTTATCAATTGCTTAGACTATTAAGAATTTTATTTCTACTTTGCTTATCAAATTGAACTGGTGAAAAAAGCAGGCGTAGGAGTAGGTTCTTTTCAGAAATGTGTTGAGCATGAAAAGATATTCTTGCAGTTAAAATAAAATGTAAATATTAATTTACGTTCAGTTCAATCAATGAGAAACAATTTCAGAAAGAAGACAAAAATTAAAATGAAAAAATATTCGGGCTGTTGCAACTAAAAATTATTTTTAATGGGTTATGGATTTAAAGTAACGGATGACAATATATAAATTTCGCCAAATGAAATCGGAACGGGTCAGTTGAATTGCTCGAGCCTAGTGAATTTTTTCCCTCCCGAGTCCCATCTCACTTTGAGTTTGGGCTGCAGCGTGACTGCACCACTCTGTTTTTCTGTAACAATTTATACGCATGGTTGGAAAAAATTTAATTCAAACATAACAATAGTTTCTCACAATTTTTCCCATTGGTTTTCCGGCGGCACACATCGGTTGAATTAAAACAAGGAATTCCCGCGTCGATTTTAAAATAAACTGGCGTTGCGGGCTCCGTTCGACATGATGAATTCTTCATTAGCTCTTCTTTGTGTGCTCTCGAGCGGGATATATATCGAGCCAAAGGTGCGCTGGCAGCCGACATTCACCCACCCGCTCTGCAGACATTAATTAATGCTTGTCCGTCCGTCAGACACATTAGCAGCGACCCCGGTTCCTTTTCAATCCCGACTTGGGAAAACAAATTAAGCCGGCGAGTAGAGTGAGCGGTGGAATGAAGTCTCGCTCTCTCGCTCAGCGGTAGTTAGGTAAATTAATGACTGCGAATTAGCATCTTGTGCAGCCACACGTACGTCGGGCGCGTCTACTTTCAGGGGCGTGCAGCCCGCAGATAACGTCTGCAAACTGTAAATAATTGGCATTATCTCGGCAGCGTCGTAAATTCACATCTTGCTTGTGATTGGTTGCGTGAGCAAGAAATCGCGACGTCAGCTTCCGCACTGGTGGTTCCCAATATTGTGCTAACTTACTGCTTGCTCTTCTCTTTGGAAACCGATCGATTTTGCTGCAAAACGGGGTAGATTAGAAAATTGGGCGCGATGCAGACAAAAAAGCAAACTTTTTAACAGATACGTGACTAGTTTTTATTTAGATGTTTTATTAATTTTAAATGATAAATATACGTAAATATTTTTTTTTGTAATTTTAGGATAAATCTACATTTTTCTTAAAAAAATGACACGTACATAACTTTTCATGTCCATCAAGTAAGCAAAAATTCTTTGCGCTTGCATGTAATTTTCAATCTAAAATTGCTTCACAAAACGACTTTTTGTTTTTATGTTACAAAATTACCTCTAAAACGTTACGGCGTAATAGCAATTTATCGACCTGACCCAAAATTCTCGTTCTTTTAAAAACTCCCATTTTCACGTAAACGGCCGCCAAGCTAAAAAGCCAGCCCGCTTATTTAGGACACCTGAAAGCAGAATTTTCCGGCTGCAAATTTGGCCACTGGTGGGGGAGGAGGATGCCACCCTCATAATGAGGTCCCGGACTTGAATAGTCTCGCGGCGAGCAGCGCATTTACGTGTTTTTCGGGGTCGAATCGATCCTCTCTTTGTACGCCAATTTTACCCTCTCGCCACTGCACAACACACAATATGAAGAGGCGGGGCGAAAAATTCAATTTATCAAGCAATATTTCATGCCGAGGATGAACACGAAGAAGAAAAGACGGAGGAGCTGCAGCGGCGAGGAGTGTGTGTGTGTTTTGTATGTGAAGACGCACGCGGTCGCTGTATGTGTGTGTGTGAGGAAGAGGAAGAAGTTGCGGACGA